GCAAAAATATGATAAACACTGTGACAAAGTTAAAAAAAATATACTCTTGATTTCAGGGATAAGGCAAAAAAAAGCCATTTATAAATAATAATTGTGACAATAGGGATAAAAATTCTTTTTCCTGATATCTTGCTTTAAAATATGCACAACATTAGGGATACTAAGTAAATCAAAGCCAGCAAAATATTCAAAAGTTTTACAACAAACATTAGAATAGGCAAAAAAGAACTGTGAAATTTGACAAGTACAGAATGATTTTAAATATTGGCACATCGCTAAATCCTAAGTTCTACAGCTATTGCCTGAGAGTCCCAACTGAAAATAACATCTTTCTTAACAGTTAAAGGTAATGCAAGATCTGCAAGTGAGATGAAGTACTTGTAAGTAGCCCACTTGAGAGTCACCTGTCCTTAAGTGCTGACAACCATGCTCAAAATTGTACTGATGATTACCTGGATGGTTGAAAGGGTAGGTAGGTGAGCATCAGCCATGCAAGCTACATACCACTCATTCCATGATCATCTAATGCTGTAAGAAACCTCAGATGGCCATTTTGTCGTAGTCCTAAAAAATCCCATGCTCCTCGGAAAGCTCATTGAAAGCTCCTAAACCTCAGGTGGAGCTGGAAAGCTCGGATGTACGACCTGTACAGCTGCAGAGATGTATCACATTGCTTAAGAGAAGCTAACATGTTGCAGTGGAAGTGGAACCTTCAGCTTAGAGAAAACAAAGGCCTGTGATGGTTCCTGCATTAGTAAACAAAGTGCCAGCTCTTTCTCTGTTACTGTTTGAAAGCCAGTGACACAGATGCATAAAATCAAGCATTAGGCAGTTGTTTCAGGCATTCACATTGCAATTAGATCTGGTTTTCTACATGTGCTGTCAAAAGAGGGTGGCAACACCTTGTGGGCATGTAAAGGAAGGTACCTCAAAGGTAAAATATTTCCCTTACTTTCTTTTGGGTTGTTTCATAAAGACTATTGAGTTCTCATTGACCCCCAAGATCCTTTTATGCTAGTTCAATAAAAGAATCGCCAGAAAGAACCTCTTAGAACCTCCTTCGGGAAACCGCAGAAAGATTCCCAAGGACTGGGAATATGTTCAGAACTAAACATTATCTCCTTCCTACTGTAACTTCATATCCATTTTTTTCTAGCATGTGTGGACTCATTTGAAGAGACAACTTCCCAGCAACTTGAAGTTGCTTACTTTGAGGCTGCAGTGGAACACAAGAATGTGAAAGGTTTGATACAGGAAGAAGCAAGAGGTGCAAATTCATAGCCAAACCTAATAATTGTAGAGACATTTCTAAGAAACACTAATAAAGGAAAAATAAAGAAATATCAGAGAAAAGAGTGTGCTTATTTGTGCTGTCCTTTACCCTCAGATTTAGATTCAAGGTTTAACTTCAAGCTGATCTGATCATCGTTAAATATTATGTCCCTCACATTGAATTCTATGTTCATGGGCCTGTCACACCGGAGCAGAAATAAACACTATTTATAATAAGGTGAACCTTGAAATGGGAAAATATCTTCAAATGAAAGTGTTTCAATTTCCAGGAAAGAAGACAGCTATTGTAAAAGCAGATTAGAAATTATTTTCTGCAAAATGAAACAGAACAAACCGAATCCAGACCTCTGCTTCAATAATCAGTTCTGTATGTATATATTCTCTAGCAAACATCAGTTCATTGAATATAATACAACATTTCTTTGGAGCACTGTTCTGTTCACTCCAGCTTTTTGATCACTTCATGGTCAAGGGCAACAGAAAATAGATTCACTGTAATTAATCGTTCTAGGAGAAAACATTGAATATATTGGATGTAAAAGCATTTAAACTGCAGTTTCTCACAACAACACTCACCTTGTTTCTGAAAGCAAATCAGCCTTCACGAGAAGCTGTGGGCAAATTCTGGGCCATTCAGCAGTGGGGCCTGATAACATAAGAGATGCAACCAGAAATGTAAGATCAGTGCAAGCAGCTCTACAGATACAGACTATCTATTCCCACATGGAGCTCATTAGTGCACATGCTGAAATCTGCTTGCTCAATATTGATTTTAGTTCTAAAATGTGACTTGACAAGAGATATGAAATGAATAGAGAAGGCAGAAGAAGAAAAACACCACAATCTCTAGCTCAGAGTATGTCAGAGGTGATGAAACTCTGGAATTTATGTTCTATGTGGCCATTTAATTCTTTGCTATTCTCTTTTGGCAGAAATTGAAATAAAATGTCAAAATCTCCCATGCAGAGAAATTTCTAGAAAAGGTATACCTCAGAAATGCTGGATATGATCTGGATTTTCATTTCAATAAAGCCAAAAGAAGCTTCTTACTGGAGTTTTCCATGATAAAACCTAATGAAAGTTGTTGGAAATATCCAAATAATGTTGTCAGGACAGTATATCTGATAAATGCAGATTTTATTCACGATTGCAGTGGTGGGCATCCCACGAGCAGGAGCACATCTATGGACACAATGACAGCTTTTGTACCTTGTTTCCCTCCTTGCCTACCCCGCTCCCCTGTTTCCCCATTGGCCGTGTACTCCAGGCTCACAATCTTATCAAACGTTTATATTTGTTAATTTGTGTGTAATCTGGTGTCAGTCAGTAGCCATCCTGTTGTTTCCAAGACATCACAGTACTCTTCCTATCGTATTGTTACAGTGATCTTCTCCAAAGTCCTTGTTAAACAAAGAGTACTGGGTTTTAATGTAATAATATACACATATTGAGATTCTAAAAGTTTTCAAAAATTATCTCCTAAATTTCAAGGAGCAATAAGAGCTATAAAAGTATTTTTAGAAGTGTTTACTAATGTCCACAGAATAATTTATCTTCCTCTCTTTGCGGTTAGCTTTCCTTGATGTTGAGATTAGTTTTTTTCTCTGAAAGCATTGCATGACAGAAGTCACTGCTTTCCCTTCAGTCCCACAGAGCCCCTCAGCACAGCTCATCAAGGCAGCCAGAGGACATGACAGTTCAAGCAGCAATTTTTAGGCTCAACTGTGGGACTCTGCACATCCTCTGGGAACATTTACTGAGATCGTCAGTGGACTCCTGGGAGCCCACTGAGAAACACCACAGTGTCTGCTGCTGGGAAAAGTTGGCTGTGACTGCTCACATGTTTTCAAAGCTGGGGGAGGCCTACAGCTCGCAGAGCTTTGGAGTAACGCATGCTCAGGAGTACCGAACCATCAAGGGAGGGATCTCTAGTGTCTCTGCTTATTGATTTGGGAAACCAAGACTTCCACAGTGGTACACTCTGGGATCTGGTAACCTCCTGCTCCCGCTCCATCTGCAGCTACAGAGGAGATTCAGTGCCATGGAAGATGAGGCTTCCAAGGCTCATCCAGTTGTTGCTCTGTGATCCTCTGCTGCTTTTCCACATCAGCACCAATTCTGTGGCCAGCAGGAACCTGAATAGTATCACATATTACAACATGGTTCTTAGGTAGTGGTCAGTGATGTGGGAGCCTAGCTGGCATCTTACAAATCCTGTTGGTAGGAAGAATGTGAGGAGAAAGGTTGTAAGCAAAAAGGACATGAGGCTGAAGAGATGGATCATGCAAGTCAACAAGCAATTATACAGTAGGAGCTACCAATTAGTGATTTGTCTTTTTTCTGACCATAAGATCCTCTCTGAAGGCTGAAGACTGCTGTTAAGAGATTGACACAACTGACTATATGGAACAAAGACATCATTTCCAACACTTGTGGAAAGGAATCTATTCTAAGCATGTGCAAATAAAGAAGTTATGAGGAAAAAGATGATCTTAGCAGTGAGTATAAATATCTGACAGCAGGAGAAAGAAACATAGGCCAGTTTCTTCTCAGTGGTATCAGGTGATGTGACAAGAGGAAACGGTAACAAACTGATATACAAGAAAATCCACTGAAATAAAGGAATAAGCTTTTGTACCATGAGAATGGTCATATTCTAGAAAAGGTTGTACAGAGAAGCTCTGAAGCATTCCTCCTTGGGGATATTCAAAGCCCATTTGGACACACTCTGTGCAGCCTTCTCTGTGTGACTTCCATGGACACGGTAGGTGATCACCAGACATACTTTCAAAACTGAGACACTCTATATATCAGAAGAATTCATTTTTTGTTTATAATAATGCCTTTGTTATAGCAATATCAATGCTTGATAAGAAAGAAAATACATACACTGTCAAATCCTTTCTCAGTCAACTTATTTCAGTCAAATTTCTATTACTCCTCTCTGTAACAATGCTGTCTCCTACTGTTTGTTATCTCCATCAGTTTACTAGCAGACAAAATGAATTTGATTGTTAGGAACTACAGAACATTAAATGAGATGAAAAAAGAGTTCAAAGTGAATAAAATAAAAAAATAAAATAAAATAAAATTTAAAAAAGTATAGCTCCATAAATATCAATGACTTGTAAAATAGAAAAAAAAAAAAAAAGAAACTTCATAAGAAGTCAGTATGAATAACATCAAAAAATATATATGACATTGCCATAAGACTGAAAGCAAATCAGGGAAATTCTAAGATCATTGCATCATACATAGTAGAATAGTGTTGCCAGCAGGTGGAAGGAGGCCAACCTTCCTCCCCGCTTCATGGCCAGCAGCATGCCCCTCTGTGCACGGCCTGCAACAGCCGCCATCTTGCTTGGGTGCCCAGGGCCCACGCCCTCAGCCCTCTGTGAGGTAGCGACTGCCTCACCACGGGTGTCACGGAGCAGCCATTGTGACCTAGGGGGCCAGGACCGGGTCAGGCCAGGCCAGGCTCAGACCGTGGGTCAGTGCGACCTGGTGAGGTGAGGAGAGGAGAGGGCAGGGAGCGAGGGGCTGCCTGAGGAGGCTGCTCAGTGAGGAGGGGTCCCCTCGCCTGGGGGCCTGAGCTGCCAACTCACTCTCGTCCTGCTTCTCCCGCAGAGTCGGCAGAGGAGAGTGTGGAAGACAAAGCCCAGCGCTGACTGGGCAGGGACTCCGAGCGCTCACTGTCGACGCGTGCCATGTCCAAAAGGAAGCAGAAGACCTCCAACCCGGAGGTTGAAGGTGAGAGCAAAGGATCTCTGCGTGCAGCTCCCTGCCGGGCAGAGGGGCACTGCGGGCTCTGCCCACTGTGTGCGAGAGGGGAGGCGGGGGCAGGCAGGGGCTCCCCACACACCGCTGGGCATGGCCCCTCTGCCCCTCAGCCGGGTTGGCCTGTGCGTGCCTGCTGGGACCGTTGGGCCTACAGCGGCCCTTTCCCCCTCGCGTCGTCCAGCCCTGCCCCTCATCCTGCATGGCAGACCCAGGGCAGGGCCCTGGCAACAGGCCTCAGGGACGCTTGGCACTCACTCCTGCTTCTCTTTGCTCTCTCCTCTTCAGTATGCATGCTGTGTCGCCGAGCAGATGTTCACCCGGACGTCTGTGGGCCCATGCTTGGCGAGAGCGGGCTTTGCGTCCACAAGTTTTGCTTGGTGAGTTCCCTCAGGGCTCCTTCCGCCCTCCAGCCAGGGATGCTCCCTCTTTTCCGTCCTGTCCTCATGACATCCTGCTCTTTTCTCTGCTACAGTTTTTTGCCGACGGCCTTTACGAACACACTGCCGGACAGAGGGCGGTTCTGAAGATCCCCCTTGATGCCATCAGATGCGCAATCGAGGAGGCAGAGCAGAAGGTGAGGATCTCAAGGAACGGGGATGTTTGTACCAGCACCAGCTAAGCCTGGAGCCTAAGCAAGCAATGGCACTCTTTCCACCTAGCACCAGGACACAGTTCTTGATTAAACGAAGATCAAACTTGTCTGCTGGCGCGTCTGCAGAGCGTGACCCAGCGATGCCTGCATTCTGTGCCCTGCCTGGAGGCGTGGCGTTGGCCTCAGAGGCCCTGAGCCTGCTGCTAATGGGGGCTGCTCTTCTCTTTCCAGCACTGCTTCGTTTGTGGAGACAAGGGGGCCTCCATCTACTGCGCAGAGACAGGCTGTGAACACAGCTTTCATCTGCCCTGTGCCACGGATGGGGAATGTGTCACACAGTTCTTTGGGCAGCACAGGTAAGGGCTGTCAGCAGCAGCCAACCAAGGGAGGAACCTGTACGGCTGCTTCCCAGTGCTGAAGCATGCAGCAAACTCCTTTGTGTTCCTCTGCTGACATCGCAGCACTTCTCGGCTCACCCATCCTGTCCATCTTCCCCCAGGTCCTTCTGCTGTGAGCACCGCCCTCAGCAGGCCGAGGAGGCAGCTCCAGAGCAAGACACAAACTGCGTCATCTGCCTGGAGCCCGTGGGGGACAAAAAGTCCTACCACACCATGGTGTGCCCGGTGTGCACACAGGCCTGGTTTCACCGGAGCTGCATCCAGGTAGGAGCCCTCCCTGCCCTTGCTCTGCAGTCACAGCAGGTGCTCAGCTGCACCAGGCCCCGCTCACACTCTGGCTGCTTGTGTTACCGCTGCAGGCACAGGCCATGAGCGCTGGCATTCTGCGCTTCCGATGTCCCGTCTGCAAAGACAGGATGCGATTCCGGAAAGAAATGCATCTCCTCGGGATCCAAATCCCAGCCAGGTTGGTGCCTTCTGCCCAGCTCTCCAGATACTGAGGCGCAAGTGCTGTGCCTGCCCAGGGATTGCCCCCAGCACGCCCAGCTGACCTTCTGCTGTCCCACGAGCCTTGGCCGCAGCTTCATGGAGAAGCTGGGAATGGGCTTGCGCTGGAAGAGCAGGGATGTCCCAGATCTGCTCTATGCCTGGGGTCCTGAGGACTCATTGCTTTCTCTCCTTTCTCTGGCAGAAGACCAACATGGGAGGACAAGGAGAGCTATGAAACTCTGCACAAGATACACCAGCGCTGTGATGCCGGCGAGTGCCTTTACACAGAAGGCAGGGAGCAAGAAGAGGGAGACGGGTGAGTTACCACAGCAGCCCTGCGTGGGATCTCAGCTGCCCCCCAGGCTGGGGAGCAAGGACTGAGCTCAAGAGCTGCTCCCGCCACTCCCTGCTTGACTCATTTTGTGCACACAACTACAACCTCTTTTTTTTTTTTTCCCCAGGCCCTGGGAGCTGCTCCTGTGCACCTCGTGTGCTGCGCAAGGCACCCACCGGCTCTGCTCTAATTTGAGCAACAGCCTGAGCAGCTGGGAGTGTGACAGCTGTGCTGGCGTGGGCACAGGTAAGAGGCAAAGAGCTGGGGCCTGCTGCCTTGGGGCCAGGCAAGGCCTGGCACAGTGACTCCTCAGTGAGTTTCTCTGCCCCGGGAGGGCTGGGTTCCTCTCCCTCCACGGGGCTGCCGGGTCATCCTGTTGACCTTCCTGCCTCTCCTTACAGCCTCCAGTGCCGAGTCGCAGCTTGCTGGTCCCAGCACTGCCAGCCAGGAGGCGCCGGGGCCATCTCATAGCTCCCCAGCACCTGATGACCGCAGATCTGCCTCTACCAGCCAGGCAGCATCGGAGTCATCTCCGAGTTCCCAGCTGCCTAAGCGCAGCAGCCTGTCCAGCCAGCCCAAGACAGGACAGAGGAAAAGCCCGCGACGTAAATCCAACCAAGAAGAACAAGGGAGCAGCCAGCAGGAAGTGGGGTACTCCGGCAGAAGGCAATCCAGGCAGCAGGGCACAGGCCGGACAAGAAGCCGCTCTCCACTCAAGGGTCGTGCTTCAAATTCCCCCAGCCAGCTCAGAAGACCACCTGGCAGCAGACGCTCTCCAGCCTCAGGCGCTGGGAGGAGCATACACTTCTCTGCCAGGCAGGGGGCATCCAACAATTCCCCGAGGGCTGCAAACATCAGATGCCCACGCCAGGGACAAAGCCAGTCCTCCCCACAAGGTCGGGCATCAAATCCCTCGAGCCAGCCCCAAGGACGCCGTGGCAGCAGAATTAGCCCGGCCCAAGGTGCTGGGAGCAGCACCCAGAGCTCTGCCGGACCGGTGGCGTCGAGGTCCCGCAGGGATTCCCAGCTGCCTGAACGCAGAAGACGTTCCAGTGTTCTGCAGCGAGGGCAGAACCAAGATCGAAGCCGTTCCCCACGGGATCGTCGGCCTTCCAATTCCCAAAGACAGTCGGGAGGAAGCCTCAGCCCCCGTTCCAGGCAGAGGCGGCCATCTCAGGCACGACGCCACTCCCGGGACCAGCCCTGAAGACACTGCAGGAGTAGCCATGGACCAGAGCCACGTGCCAGCTCCTGTCCCCAGCAGCCAACCCAACAGAGTTGTCACGGAGTTCTCTCTAGGTCTGTGTCCGTGACAGGGGGCAGCAGGCCCGGGAAAAAAGACAAAAAGAAAGAGAGAGGGAAGAAAAAGAAGCGTTAATGGCTTACGAGCTGGTCTGGCACGGCCCCGTGACTATAGAGGCAACGGACTCGTGGGCCCCAGGAGAAGCATACGGAGATTGCAGACGGGTCTACAAAAACTACAAAGCAGCGGCAACCATCTGACGAGTCCGCGAGAGGGAGAGCGGCCGGTGTCCTGCCAGGAGCTGCAGCTTTCTTCCTCTGAGCCCAAAGTCCTCTGGGGAATGCCGCTCCTCCTTTCCCCTCCGACAACCAAAATGCCTCAAAAAAGCAGTGCACAGAACCAGAACATCAACTCTCCAACTCCCACCGCTTTACGTGATGTTCTGATGTGGAATACCAACAACAAAAATTACAACACCACAACAAAAAATACAACACCACAACAAAAATTAAAACCAAAAATTTACCCCCAAAAAGCTGTCTAGTGTCTACTCTCTAAACCGGGAGCTGAATACTCCAGGTACACCGTTAGGGCTCTGAGGATGAAGAAGGATCAAGGGTATATCCCCTGCATAAGGAGCAGGGCAGATATCTTTACACAAGCACGGCGCTTCCAGGAGGACTGGTCAGAGAAGATCCAACCAAAGGCTTACAGGCAACACAGGCTCTTGGCATATGTATGTAGCTTCATTGCCAGAGCAGGCTGATTTTGCACAACTATGGCTACGCTACACCCAGCCTGTCCTAGCTCATACTGAGCCCCCTTGGTAGCCTCCACACGCAGCTCTTTGGTGGTGTTCACACCCAGCATGACTGCAGTGACTGCAACGGGTCCTCTGCTGAGCTACAGCCCAGTTCAGCTGCATCTCAGCGCTTGTCTGAGCACGCATCCGTAGCTAAAAGACATGCAATCAGACACCCCTGATGCAAGAGGACAGAGAAACTGCACTCACTCACTTCATTGCAGTATCTCCCTGCCTTCTGTCACCAGCTGCTCTTTAACCACAGGCCCTCTGCAACCTCTCTTGACGTCGGATGCCAAGATCTGATGTCAGCAGCGCCAACCGGAGCCTGAAATATTCCAGCTGCCCACTGCCCACCTCTTCTTACTTCCAAACCTAGCAATTTGTGCTGGGGGCATGCACACACAAATGCTGTCATTACAGCTCTGTTCTCAGAAAAACTAATGAAAGTTAACTTGAATTACATCAGCGGAGGCCGAGCTCAGTTTCTTATCAGAGAAAAATTGAAGGAGCTAACACAAAGGAGATGCAATGAACTTGCTCATGTACCTACTTCTGGCAGTAATACTAAGGTACTGCCCATACAGTACCACTTGCAGCCAGACAATCCTCATCTCCAGTGTTCCCAACACTTAACATGGCATTACAGCCTTCATTAGCAGCAATGGGATTTCATCCACGCCCCCTTCAAGTCCCGTTTGACGCACTATCAAGCCAACATGCCAGCTCCTGTAGCCATTAATTCAGTTAAAACTCTTTGCAATGAATGCCTGATAAGAGCTTTAGTACTTTAACCCAGCTGAGAGGAAATACGAGCCAGTAGAGCCAAGGCATTATTGTTATTTTAAACAAAGCTGATAGTTATTACATTTGCTTTTTCCAGTCCATTCAGGGCTGCAGATTTACTGCGAACGGTCCTCAATACCCCTCACCATACAGCAGTCGTTTGCCCATTCTGTTGGTTTTTATAAATGGAGCTGGAAACAAATAGGTTCTGTGACACTGAAGGTGACTGTCTCTATGGCTTTCCTCCAAGAAGGGCCTCACAGACTTCCCCCTATTCCCTTCAATCAGAATGATCCAGATCCTTTGTTAAACTGTTTGAGTTTTGCCTGGAGAGGAGTGCTGGGCACACCACCAAACCGCTCTTAGGAAAAGTTATACCAGCTGTAACCTTCTGCAAATGGACTGAAAATTGTCAACCCTCAAAGCTGTTTGCTGAGTGGATATCTCCCCACAGCCTTGTATTCTATTCCTATAGGTATTTCTTTTCCAGTATAAAATAATTTTATAGGTTTCTCATTTTCATTGAAGGAAGATTACTGCTTTAGATTTGTTTGTGTAATTCCAATGATACAAATAATATAAGCACTGAGAAGTTCTCAGCAACTACTTCCTCTTTTTCTTCAAACAATGAGTAAAGATCGGAAGTTTGTACTCTCCAGCTTCCTAGGGCTAGGGCTTCAACGAGCAAACACATCAGAATGGAGCAGCTGTAATGGATCAGCTCTTTAAGACTCACGTTTTATTTCTTTTTTAGTTCTTGACAGATACATTACTTCTTCAGTCTATTAGTATTTTTATATACAGAAAAAGGATGGCTACGAAAAATAAGAGTATAAAAAATCAGAGGCTAAATCAAATTCTATGTCTCTGCGTATTTCTGCTTTTTTCTCCTGCATTTTTCCTACCTTTTTTTCACCATTTGATTCTCGGGATACTAAGGCAGCTTTTAGTATAGAGTTGTAAAATACAGAGCAAGTAATTTCCAACTGAGATGAGTTAATAACAGTGATGAAACAACAACCTGCATATTCCTCAGCCAAGGATCTCAAAGCACTCAGATGAACAGATAAATTATCCCAGACCTTTATGAAACAAATTACAGCTAGGAAAATTAAAGTACAGAAAGGTGGTACAACTGAAACATAGCACTACTGAAACTTAGAAAGTCCAGATTCCTGTCAACATTTGTATCAAGACTATACTGAATATAAGTTTGAGAGATGCAGACAAAAGTAAAGACAACTATTTAACCAAAAATTCATATAACTTCCATCTTCTGGGAAGCTTCTCTTCCGATTCCTGCATTACCACCTGCTTGTTTTTCTTTTCACGTTATACACTTGGAAAATACATTGAGATGTTTCACACCAGTTGTCCCATGCAATAGATCTCTTTGAAAGGCAGGGGATGCCTCTAAAATACTCCCTTGTAATTCATATGTTCTAGGCATTGTCTGCCTCAAAGTTATAGCTTTCTGCTCTTTATGATGTGGAAATAATTTGAATGGGTTGAAAAACAACAGACTCTTTGGAATTCCATATATTTTTGAAAACTATTACCAGGGAAAATTATTATAGGCATTAAAGGAAGAAGACATAGAGGTGAAAAGGAAGAAGACATAGAGGTGACCTCTTTCATAGAAGTTTCTGAAACTTTTTGTTTCTAACTGTGAACTCCAAAATCTTTTCTCTAAGACCTCTCTCATATCTGCCTGTTGTAAAGAATGTTGGTCTGATTCTCCTCTCTTCCTGCTGAAGATGGATGACTACAGCAGTGACTACCAGATTCACAGGAACTGGGAATACACACCTAGGTTTGTAAAGCATCTACAAAGGAAATTTTGTTTCTGGTGTCACGTCCAGATCTTATATAACTAAGAAGTCCCTATATTAAATGTTTAAAGCATCTAGGTAAAGAAAATTAAGTTTAGCATTCACATGCATAGCTGAATACCATGACCACTTGCTACAGAGGACTACAAGAGTCTTGGGAACTTCAGCAGAGATATTGGAAAGTAATTGCCTGTAGCTTAGCAGGCAGCATTTTGGGTGAGGTAATCTAATGTACAGCAGATGGATGATCTTATGCTTAGGGTTTTGAACTCGCATTTGAATGAGTGCTCTTGGTACTATAAAAGGCAGACACCACCATGGTTAAGAGCGTCTTTTGTAAGAAGCAGCCCTAATGGATCCAGTCATTCAGGAGACACATCCATTCATACAATCCTACTCCAAGGCAGCTGAATTCTGCCCCTGTATATTTGCAACTACACATGAGCAGAGCTTCCCAGGCTAAAAGTTCATGATTTTACTGGTTACCAAGGACTAGACTTGAAAAACAAGGTGTTCCTCATTAGATCAAGATAAATCTTGGCTAAAGTATATATAGCTAGGATGAGATATAACAGTCAAAGCCAGATATAAAAGTTAGGTGAGACTAGATCCCAGTAATAATGTTGCACTTAAGAGCCTTAACTGTGATATTAAATGGACAAATTCTCTGTTGAATCAAGCGCTCAGAACAGAAAGCAAGCTGTGTCCTGTGCTGATTTGAAACACTGGAATTAATGAGTCCAGAGTGGCTGAGATTTAGTCTTACCATAAATGTTCTTTGTGGTGACTGTAAATTTTAATAAAATCATAGTTATTGCTGAGAAATCATCTTTAGTAATGGAATCACAGACAATGCAAAAATATTGACATAAAATACAGGCAAATACAATTAGCATTTGCAAAAGCAGATAAAAAACAGGAAAATGAGATGCAGTCGTAGTAACATGACTGCACATGTGGGAACAGCATTCAGGATCCTGTATTTCTAAAATTAATAAAAAAGAGGTCCGAGCAGTGTTTGCAGTTCACCAAAAGCAAGGTAAAGCAAGCGAAAATTCCGCCAGATTAGCATAAAAATTCTCTCTTCTGTAACAGCCCACGTAATGGTGAGATAAAATAGATACATTTCTCCATTTTCAAATGTCGCAAAAAAGAGCTGAACTTCATCTTAGAATCATATGAGTTGGAAGGGACCCTTACAGATCATCTGGTCCAACTCCCCTGTCATGAACACAGACGCCTACATCTCCATCAGGTGCTCAGTGCCTGGTCCAGCCCGACCTTGAGTGTCCCCAGGGATGGGGCAACCTGTTCCAAATCCTCACCACTGTTATAATAAAAAGTTTCTTCCTTATCTCCAATCTAAATGTCTCCCCTCTTAGTTTGAAACCATTACCCCTTGTCCTACCACAACAGACCCTGATAACGAAACTGTCCCCTTCCATCTTATAGCTCCCCTTTGTAACAGGCCTGACCCAATGGCATGGAGCAATAGTGGGAGAAGTAGTTTGGTTAACATCTCACAGAGGGCAGATCAGATCATC